TTACAATGTTGAGAGGCTTTCTAGTTTCACGAACGTTTCCATGGCAAATAGCTTTGAATCGTCACGCGCAATAAAGCCAATGGGATAGCGAGGTACCAATGTAGCGACGTGTAAAAACGTAAAAGCCGTTTTTTTTTTTTTTTTTTTTTTTGCACGAGCTATTTTGCAATTAAAAATAAGTAAAAAAGACTGCCCGAGATTATGCCGTCGCGTCCATTTCTTCAGCGCCGAAAGAGAAGAGCATGGCTTATAGAGACTATACCGTCGTAATAACTGCAGTGAGCAAAGGAGGCAAAGCATTATTAAAACTGCCCGAAGAAACTTTCCTGCATCATCCAAAGAATGTTCACAACCGTTGCACTCTGCGTCGATCTCCATAACTTGTCATATATTACCACAGAGTCGTCGTCAGCTCTGTATCCATTTGAAGTCTCCTTCACAGGCAAACAGGAAATTTCATTTGCAGCTTATGTTCACGGCGGCTTCACAAAGGATGATCGGTGTCGCAGCGCATTTTCACATATTTTTTTTTTCTCGTAATGCCGTCCGTATATATATCGTGCAGAAGCAGGGTAAGCAACGACGCAAACGAGACACAAACACCACAAGGTCGTTACCGCGGTTTTCGCCATGTTTGTTTTCAAAGACCGTAGCGAAAGACTTCGAGAAAACAAGCTGAGATATCTTAGCTAAATTTACTTTACGTCATAATTATTGAAATAATCTTTCGTATTTTATAAAAGGATAATATTATTTTTCGCTGTTTCCTTCCATTTTCCGGAAAGTAGCCTTTTTTCCGTTATTCGCTCGTTCTAACTCCCGGAGGAAAGAAAGAAGAGAACAAAAAGAACAGGGGGAAATGCGGGGATTTCTACGCCCCAACTGCGTGGACACGTCATCGCGACGTAGGGGGATCGTCAGATTCTAGCTGACCACGCGCGTGAACCCGAACGTTGGGGCGGAGCCTCAAACAAGAATCATTCTAGTTTGAGGCTCCGCCCCTTCTTTCTCGATACGTCACAACTCGAAAGGTGCCCGTTTGCGACCAGGGGTGCTATTCTGGTCACAAACGGTCACGTTCGTGTTTCTCGAAAACTCCTCCCCCCTACGAACCGCGCGCTCCTATTGGCCACAGCCCGCGTGATAATTCCACGCGGTTCCCATGGGAACGTTCGCGAAACACGAAAGCAACCGTTTGCCGTAACTGTCGCTCTTCGAGTTCGGACCGTGACGACAAAGTGACGTATGACCACGTCCGACCTACGTAGCACATAGCGGAATTTGCGTCACTAGATTAACTGCGGTATTACTCGACACACCCTACTCTCTGTTTCACTATGAGTGCGAGCTAGTGCGGGTGTAGGAGCTACAAGAACGTGCTCCGGGCTTTCAACGTCCCTGTCGAGCAGACGCGCTTGCGCAGTGCAAGCCAACGTTTGTGAAAGATCGTTCGGGGTGATGCGCTCGTGCTTTTAACCTCTCTTTCTATTGCACGAAGGGGAACAAGCTTTGGGCAGAATTCTAGAGCGTAGAAAATGGCGGCGATGCTTGTTACTCAACGATGGTTCGACCAACGCGTACAATGACGGTTTTTCCGCGAGCACCCGGTTGCCTTCGCGATGCACGATGACTGTTTCTGACGACAATACCGCTTGTCGAAAAGCACCGTGTGATCGCAGTGTGACAACGAGAGACGGCGACGATGAGAGATGATGACCGTCGAGCAGCAGCTACTAATTGAATCGCACTGAGATTTTTCGCAACGGGAGACTACAAGGGCGCGGTTGCCCCCGATGATTACATAGCTAATACCCAGTGGATGGTGATCAGAGCCCTGACGGCCGTCGTGAGTATCGCTGTCAAGCGGCTGGGAAGAGACGGTTGTGTCGACAAAACCCCGGACCGAGGCAGCTGAGGCATGTGCGAAAGAAGGCTTTCGTCGCCACCATGACAAGCACACCGACGTCGTCGGGTGCGTTGACTAAACTTAGACTCTAACTAAACCTTCGTCACCGTCATCATCGGTCTGAAGGAGACCGTCACCATTCTGAAGGACTCCAACACTTTGCCGCAAACACCATTTTGCCATTAACAACATGGTGGTAAGTTGACGATTAAACTTCAGGGTTTCTACCGCTTCGAAGTTAGTGCACGCTTAGTACCTGTGTCTTCAGTTGACAATTTGTTGCGGTCTGTAGCTACTGTCAATCACGCAATAAAATCTGGATGGGTTGCTGATGGCATTTTGTTGTATCAATTAGATATTTTACCTTTTCACGCCAAGCTGCTGGAATTGCAAGTCAGTCATCGGAAAGTCATAAGAACACTTTGCGATGCCCTGCAATAAACTACGAACAGGTCTGTCCTAAAATGAATCGTTACTTGTCTAGACAGCAACAGTTTAGTCTGACAGAGTATGGTAACATTGTTACCCACTGTAGACGAGAAATTTAGCCAGTGTCTTGTGGATGGTTGTCATCTTCGTGACCAAGAAAAACAATAAAAATAGAATTGTCCTACATTCAACACACGTGGGTTTAATGTAAAGGTTATTATAGCAATTAAATAGATTGTCGTTTGAAAAGTGACAGTAACTCATTGAAATTAAAGAGTAGTGTGAGCTGGATTTTTGAAATGTGCCTGTGATGCAGAGCAAATACGCACTGCATGGCTTATCACCATCAAGCATAAACGACAAGCGCAGGCAGAGTAGATGTGTGAAGGAAAAGCGAGCATATGTACTAAAGAAAGAACTGCTATGTAACGTGGAGAATGTCAGCAACTATCTTGCCATTGTGGTACGAGCTCAGTGGCTATGCACATGCTTATAGCAGCCTGTGAATGTAGGATGCTCCACTTATGTGGCAAAGCCAGGGGGGGGGGGGGGGGGGGGCGAGGGGGGGGGGGGGGGGGGGTTTATGGGGTTTTGCTCCTTCCCTCCCCAAATCCGGCGGGTCCTCGAGTATACACACAAATTCCGACACCATCCCCCCCGGACCCCAAGTCATGAACATCCCCAGCCACCTCAACCCCCCTCCATCCTCACCCCCTTAGAAGTTCCTGGCTACGCCACTACTATCAACAGCACTCAATAGATAGTCAACATTATCAAGATAAACAAAATTTCTTTTATTTTATGCACCATATAGGCAGTGTTTTTGTCTTTATATGCATGCAGCCAAAGCACACACTGTAGAAAACACTTGTGTGAGGTCTGCGTTCACAATGCGGTCCCCGTCAAACTTTCAAGGCGTTAACGAATTCCACGAATTAAATTTTCAACGAAACGAATTCGTTTTGCAAAACGCTGGCAAACTTACGTTGCGTTTTACATCATTCACCTTTGTCGTCCGGTGAATCAGTAGTCAGCTCTACAGGGTGTCACAAAAGAAAATTTACACAGTCTTTTTTACCGCAAGAATAAACTAGGCATCGCCGAACGCTCATTCTCTGCCCAAAGGTAGAGCTAGAGGTCACAACCAGATGCCAAAGTTTCAGCCCAATCCGATAACTTAATCAAAAGTTATAAGTGATTTTCTGATAATGTCAATGAAAAAATGGAGCCCATTTTTGCCCGTTTTCGGTTTCTGGTGCCATAGAGCCCCATGTGTTTGAAAACTCCGTCGGCCGCCATTTTCCCATTGACATTTTTAGAAAATCTCTTATAACTTTGGATTAAATTATCGGATCGGGCTGAAACTTTGGCATCTGGTTGTGACCTCTAGCGCTACCTTTGGGCGAAGAAAGAGCGTTCGGCGATGCCTAGTTTATTTTTGCGGTAAAAAAGACCGTGTAAATTTTCTTTCGTGACACCCTGTGCACAAACCTCAATGAGCTTGTCGTTCGGTTTCTTGCCGTTGGGGCGACCGCTGGCGGTCGTGGCGGCGGCACAATTCTTTGTCAGACCGTTGGCTGCTGCCTCCGTGCTCGCGGAAACGTGATTCCCTTTGTGTCAAGGTGAGGTTTTGAATCTTAATGCACGGCAACGCTGAATAAAGGTCTATTACCGTCTTATAATCTCAGCAACGCTACCGTACGAGCCACAACAACACCACCACTTTCAAGCTTCATAACACCGGCACAAATAGAAGCCAAGCCTTGCATCTCGCCAAGCGTTACATCGGAGACGTTAAACGCCAGCTCACTGTGCTTTTCGACCCGGCCCTGCCGCCGAATGGGCTCATCCAACAGCACGAAAGTATTCGTGTGCGTGTTGATCAAGTACCGATCGCATGTCAAACCCCAGCCGCGGTCGATCCGACGAGCATCGCGGCCATGTTCTTTCGAGTTTAACTCGCCAAGGGTACGGTTGTCGAGTTAAAACAATGCAAATAGTCCCGTGCATTTTTGTTCTTACGTCATTTTGTAGTCACAACCCGAACTCGAAAAATGACTGTTAGCGGCAAACAGAGGCTTTCTAGTTTCACGAACGTCTCCATGGCGAATGGCGTTGAATCGTCACGCGCAATGAAACCAATGGGAAAGCGAGGTACCTATGTAGGGACGTGTAAAAACGTAAAAGCCTCTGGCTTTTTTTTTTTTTTTTTTTTGCACGGGCTATTCTGCAAATAAAAATAAGTAAAAAAGACTGCCAGAGATTTTGCCGTCGCGTGCATTTCTTCAGCGCCGAAAAAGAATAGTATGGCTTATGGGGACTACCGTCGTAATCACTGTAGTGAGCAAAGGGAGCGACATTAATAAAACTGCCCGAAGAAACTTTCCTGCATCATCCACAGCATGTTCACAACCGGTGCACTCTGCGTCGATCTCATGACTTGTCATGTATTACCACAGAGTCGTCGTCAGCTCTGTATCCATTTGAAGTCTCCTTCACAGGCAAACAGGACATTTCATTTGCAGCTTATGTTCACGGCGGCTTCACAAAGGATGATCGGTGTCGCAGCGCATTTTCACATATTTTTTTTCTTGTAATGCCATCCGTATATACATCGTGCAGAAGCAGGGAAAGCAACGACGCAAACGAGACAAACACCACAAGGTCGTTACCGCGGTTTTCGCCATGTTTGTTTTCAAAGACCGTAGCGAAGGACTTCGAGAAAACAAGCAGAGATATCTTACCTAAATTTACTTTACATCATAATTATTGAAATAATCTGTTGTATTTTATAAAAGGAAAAAATTTTCTTCTGCTTACTTCCATTTTCCGGAAGGTAGCCCTTCCTCCGTTATTCGCTAGTTCTAACTCCCGGAGGAAAGAAAGAAGATAACAAAAAGGACAGGGTGAAATGCGGGGATTTCTACGCCCCAACTGCGTTGACACGTCATCGCGACGTAGGGGGATCGTCAGATTCTAGCTGACCGCGTGCGTGAACCCGTACGTTGGGGCGGAGCCTCAAACAAGAGTCATTCTAGTTTGAGGCTCCGCCCCTTCTTTCTCGATACGTCACAACTCGAAAGGTACCCGTTTGCGACCAGAATAGCACCCCGGGTTGGCTCTGGAGGCAGCCCATTCATCCCCGCCTCTGTCAGGAGTTGACTGGTCCACCCGCTGGGAACGTGGAGTGACATGAACAATTGTTCGGTGTGGGCGCTATATCCAACAGACGGTCCTCTTCGTATCATTCTCCCACAATGTGTGGCCCAACGCGTCGCCTATTTGGTGAAGATCGTTTTGCAGATACCGGGGACGCTGCACTTCGGGAAGCTTGTGCAGCATTGCCTTGCCCTTGAATATATTTAACTCGGGCAGTCCAAGTGGCTTCTTGAGCGACATGGGCGCCGCCTGGAGCCTAATGAGGAAGGAGCGATCATAGATCTTGTGGCCTTCCAGGTTTAGTCGGCTGTCTGAATCTCCTTGTCGCTGAACTTCAGCCTCTGGGCAGAGGTATGCATCCCCGTCCTTAGACTCCTTTTCATTCACCAAGGGTTTTCCAGAAGAATTCCCATATGTGTGAGCGACTTGTAGCCGTGTGAAGTGACGTGCAATGGCTTCATATATTACTTGCTTAGCTTCTGAACGTCCACGTATGACGTGGTCCGCGACCGTGTTGACAGTGGCCTGCAACTCATTGTAGCTGTCTTTGAGCTCAGCAATAGACTGCTTGATCTCTGCACTTGCCTTATCCAAAGCTTCAGTTAACTGTCCTCCCAGGTAAGTCACATCTGGCGGCGCCGATTTCGCACTTCTGGTAGGGTCGCAGCCACTTACGCGGTGCTGTACCAGGTTCCTCCGCGGCACGTCCTGGTTACACCGAGGACAAGAAACATTGTGGTGTACGCACTCCTTCTCAAAGTGGTCCAGGAGCTCGAAGACGGGGCCCACGAAGCTGCAGCCGTGGGCATGGTTCCAACAGGACACCCTTAGTTTGAGCAATTGTCCCGATCGTACCCTCACCTTACCAACGTCATCCGGGTGAAACATTTCCCCGTCCACGGGACACACACCGCCCAGTGCCACGCAGGCCTCGAAGCACACATTGCAGAGTGTGTGGGAGCAATGCAGCACCGCTGTTTTCTTGCACACCAGTCCACAGACTTGGCACACCCAGTTCGATGGAAGGGAATCTTCGAAAGTCAGCGGTCTCCAGTCCAGGCCTGGTAGCAATTTTGTGGACAGCGTAGCACAGGTAGGCGCCATTCGGTAACTACGTGAATTATGATGCGACGTGGCTCCTCCGCCTCGCCCGCTCTTTGCTCTCGTTCTGTAAACGTACGCCCACGATCAGCTGGAAGAGATAAGGACACGGGCTTGTTAGTTTCGCCACCGCGACGGCCGAGTTATCTCCAGATAGAGACGTGCAAAGGTCTAAAGCGACTCAGCCGGACCGCGGCTTACCAGTGCTACTTACTGCATGTCGAATCAGATATATATAATTATTCTTTAAGTCTCCAGACTTGGACAATTTCTGAAGGTATAAATAATCGCACTTTTTCTACCATACATCAATTACGGGTATGATTATTCCTATTGTTTGATTTTTTTTTTCGCATCTCGAGAGCGGCAATTACGCCTAAATATTCCAGGCAGGGGGTACAAGCTACCAGCCAATGCAGCTTCTGTTATAAAAAGTGATTGTATCCAAAAGGTAACGCTGTGTATGCCATGATGAAAAAAAATCGAATGAACAAGCTCCGAAAGAAATTTAGTTTGAATTGAGGACAATGAAACATTCATATGCTATTTTTGCGCGACTGCATGTCGCGCTAAATCCACCGTCAAACTGCTCACATGTCATACAAAAGACATAACGTTCGCTGCAGGAATGTTCGAAGTTCGCATGTTCGTAGCACGTTCCGTTCATGCACATATGTATGTTTGTCCGCAGGCAGCTTTTTCGAGATAAATGATTCAGGATTGTCATAAGGAAGAAACGCGCTCCTCAGACGGTTCATGCAGACTGACTTTTCCATGATGCATTACCAGCGTGACCGTGGCTTGAAGCGACTCGCGAAAAGTGGCTGAACACAACTGGTCGAAGTCAAAATACTCAACTAGACTGCTCCAAAGATGTCCGCATGCCCCACTTTTCTACAATGTCTCGCGACTTTTTTTACCCCGTCTTGAAAACTATTTTTACTGCTCTGCCGCACACCCGGGCAACTACAAAACACAAGCTATCATCAACTACCAACATGTGGAAGTCTGTGCAGATGAATCCCGTTGTTTTGTAACGGTCTGTAGAAAGTGGACATTTTGAATATTTCGTGTTTAGTCAAGACCTACGCCTTGTCTCCGAACTCAGTAGATATGGAGATAAACGATGGAAGATACCGCTGCCATCGCGGCGGTACCATAGATTTGAGCATTATAGCAAAGGTTGAATATAAAATCTGACATTAGACAGACTCAATTAATTATTTTATGCCCTCATGCCTGTGTTTTCATGCCCCAGTGTTTAGACGGTGAAACTCAGCAACAATTAACATTTTTTTTCTCATCATCTGTTAAATCAACTCTGCCACATGTAAGCTACAGAATGCAGGTTGCAGGTTGCAGAGCACTGGATATCTTCTCCCCATGGTCCAAAAGTTTCTGCAAAAAATCGTTAAATCCCTTCATTAATTTTTTTTTTTAAGCTCCGCTTTGCCATCCACGAGCGTCATGATGGCATGTTCCGCTATATCATCGTGATCAGGGTAAGGATGCATTGCATCCGCCTGGCGTATACACCTTCCCCAGGTTGAACTCAATCCACTTCAGGTTGACAGCCGAGGAGGCCCCTTGGAAACCACCAGGGACACTGCGCAACGCTGCTAGCACGACAAAGAGTGCGGAAGTAGTTTTCATTTTTTTTTTCTCCGAATGTTAGGACAGCGAAAACTAGTAGGTAGACGAAACGTGCTCACTAAACGGGTAACTCCGGCACATTTTTTTCGATTTTGGGGTTACGACGGTTTCTAGTGAAGGAAGTGTCCCTTAATTACGAGGGGTCCTTTTTTCGATGCCTTGTGTAGTTTAGTACATATATCCTATCTCCAGGCTATGTTTCGGGGGTCTACGCCGAAACCAAAACTACCGGCTCGAACATGATAGAAAGCCTTGAGATCAGCTGCGTAGCCATCGTGTTAGGGAAAGGAGGGGTTTTCCCAAAAATTGAAATTAGGGGGGGGGGGGGGGGGGGTCTAAATTTTTAGGGGGTTGGGGAGAGTCGGCATTGAGAATAGAGGAATCGTTGTCAATAAAGGGGGTGCCTTAGGAAAAACAAGGGGGTTTACACCCCCCTAGGGGGTGTAGGGAAATCCCTGACGGAAAGTTTGTATTGCAGTACCGCAAAACATACGACTGGCCTAGTCACAGAGACAGTTCCGATCAGTCAGTTAAAGGGGTTATGACACGAAAATTAAACTGATAGATTCTTCTTGAAACGGAATGCTCATAAGCTACTTAGTATATACACCAAGTTACGCGATTTTAGAGCGCTGGTAATTTCATTAATCAATTTACGAATTTTTTATCATTTTCATCTGCCGACCAGGCAACTCTGCCCAAGTTAGTCACACCATGGTGTCCATAAACCACGTGATCATGAACGCTCTCTCACTCTAGGCACCCCCATAATCGCCCACCCAAGCTCTCTTCGCCGCGGTACGATCAAAACCGCTCACCCAACTCGGCAACCCGACCGCTATTCTCACTCCTGCGAGATATGGGAGTTGTAGTAGATCGTTTCTCTCCTCCGCTACGGTATACCCGAAGAAAACACCGCAGCTGCGCATGCGCGCCGCCAGCCTTCTCTGCATAGTTCAAGGTCTTGTGGCGGATTACGGAGCGCTATCCGGGTGCTTAGCGGGCTGCGGGAACGGTCTACTACAATTCCCTATTGGGGAATTGTAGTAGACCGTGGCGGATTACGGAGCGACTTGTGGCGGATTACGGAGCGCTATCCGGGTGCTTAGCGGGCTGCGGGAACGGTCGACTACAATTCCCTATTGGGGAATTGTAGTAGACCGTTTCCGCAGCCCGCTAAGCACCCGGATATCGCTCCGTAATCCGCCACAAGACCTTGAACTATGCAGACAAGGCTAGTGGCGCGCATGCGCAGCGGCGGCGTTTTCTTCAAGGACACCGTAGCGGAGAAGAAAAACGGTCTACTACTATTCCCTATTCCCGGACGACGTAGACCACGGCGAGTTCGTCCGTAAACTCGCTTTCGCTGGAGCTGGTTGTCGGCGGGTCGCACTCAAAATGAACAGCTCCCAACCAGAGCTCTGCTCCCAACATCTCTTGAGAGAGATCACTCTCATCGCTGCTGCGATGAATAGAAAGTTTTAATAGATCGTGTTTTCAGGCACGCTAATCGTAGCGGGAGCTCGCGTTGCCACTTCGATACATGCTCTGAAGCGCGCGCTCGTAGCGGTAGCGGGCCTTTGAAAACGTTCTACTAAAACTCCCTAATGTCGAACACTTTGACAAGGCGAGCGATGCTGTAGACGTAATCGTCACGGACGCATGCTCGAAACGCGGAAGGTAAACGAGGAAGCTGTGAAGAGCAGAGTAGCGCATTCCTTTGATCCGCGTGTTTCGCCGACAACATGGCCGACAGAGCAGCGCGGCGCGAATCACGTGATACTCAGGGTTCCAGGAGGCGGCCCGCCCTACGGGAGAATACATGGAGATCGACGCAACACGGCTGATTAAACAATAAACGCCACGTTCACACTTTTCAAAACTGGTCTGTCGTGAAGTTGGTAAAGCACTAAACACTTTATTCAAGTTTTCATATTATCGGATGCGCGTGAAAATTGCGAGAAGGCAATTTCCAAGGCAATTGCGTTTTAAGCAAGCGATTTTTGTACGCAGCGGAGATGGACTTCTTGCGTTGGCCGGAGCGGGTCACGTGGACGGTGCGACGTCTCCGTGACGTCGCCGCGTCGTCTGCTGCGTGATGCCGCTCAGGCGGTTTCTTTAAAAAAATGACGCCCTTACATGGCGCGCAACTTAGCGCAAATTATTAAAAAAATGTTCCTTTATTATGTCGAAAACTATTCACGTTCCGTACATCCCCACAATATTGAAGAAACAGCCATTTTCTCACGTTCCCCATGCATTTTTGATCGGAGTTGTAACCCCCGGTCGTTCCGCGCTAGTCGCCGAAAGATGGCGTTCTAGATTTCACTACTCTAGAGTGCCTTCATACAGACGCGCGCTTTTCCTTGAGTGGTGACAACCCAGCCATTTTTCCGCCCAATCATTTCTTTTATGCATCTTGAAGTGCGCGCAATCCGGCATCACTCAGCTCGAGCGCGTAGCTTTGGCTAATGCATAGACGCCATTTTACCGCCAACGTCACGCACCGAGTGCGCGAGAGCGCCACGCGCTGGCACATTTAGGGCAACAATGGATGTCTTCACCCTGAAACAGACAGACATGTAGGCACCCTACACTACTCTGCTCCGAAGGAGCTATAGAGTGCTCTAGAAACGCCAAGTGAGCCAAGTCTGTGAGTGAGTGCAAAGGGATCGCCGCGCGGGAGGCTGGTGGCGTCACCCGCCTCCCAGCTGCGGCGGCCTCTTCGAATGGGGCGGATCCGAGGGACCTTATCCCCCTCCGCACGAGAACCTAAGCAGAGAGGAAGCCGTCCTTCTAAGGCAGCTTCAAGTGAAATGCATCTTCACGCCGGTGTTGGGCCGGTATGTGGCTCCGGACGTGTACAGAACGGATGCGTGTGTTATATGTGGGGAAAAGGCTACGGTCATGCACGTGTTGTGGGACTGCAGTCCGGTAGGCGCGCCTGGAACGTTGCCTGAGATGTTGGACGCCGGAGTCAAGGATACGACACTGGAAGGACAGCGAAGGGCCGTTCAGAAGGCTCGGGAACTGAGGGACAGGCAGGTCCGCAACCGGGCCCCCTGCACCCTTACCCCGGGTGGGGCTTTCGGCCTCCCCTAGCCAGATGGGCTAGCTTTTGAAGACAAATAAAGACGTTTATTCCTCCTCCTCCTCCCATATAAATCGATTTATCCACGAAACTATCGCGCCATTTTCAGAACAAATTTAGCAGGATTATAGGAACATACAGTGGGTCCTAGCAGTGTAGTTATCTCATATTTTATTTTTAGCGTGTCATTATCCCCCCCACCATTTATTTTTTTGCGAGGCAATTTATTATGATGTCAGAAGACTATCCAACCAATATTTTGCTACAGCATCGCGTATATTTTTAATAAAGTAAAAAAAACGCAACTGCTCATATCAGAAACTGA